ACTTAAATTAAAAAATTGATTATATATTTTAATATAATCAGTTTATAAATTTAAATATTAATACTAATTGGAATGAGTTATTAAATTTTGAATTAAGTTTTAATTAAATAAAACATCTTGGTTCAAGGTTGGATCTCTAATTTATTTTGAGAGTTGGGACTAGTATGTACTTTTTCCTTTTATATAACTATATATATATAAAATTTTTCATGTCATTTGATAATTGACTTTTTTTTTTAACTCTAGTGAAATCCGTGGGTTAGAAAATTGGGTAAAAATGTTATCCACCTATTATTTCCCAATTTATGGGCCGAGGGATCTATTGTTTGGTCCATGTTGTCGCCTTCTTTGGTGGGGCATTTAATTTAAGACAAATTACACTCACCGCTTTAATCATAAAAAAATGTGCAATTGGTTTAGAAATGTGCGTTTATAAATCATGAAAATATGTACTTGACCCCTCAAATTTGAAAAAAAGTAGATGTTGAAAGTGATATGTTAAAAGTAAAAGACTTGGGGGTCAAAAGCACATTTTCGTGATTTGGGGTTGGGTACATATTTTCAAACCGTGTTGGGGTGGGTACCTTTTCTGTGAATTAAGGGTTAAGTACATCCACCAATGGTCACCAAAAATCACATGAGAGGAGCTACTCAGCTAGGCCAAAGAAGCTGTCTTAATCTTATTCCAGTCTTCGTCCAAGTATTTTTAAAAGAGCTCTTATTAACCCTGAGGAAGGAGAAATATGGGGAAAAAACCAAGTGACCCCATTTAGTTTATACAAATTAGCTACAAGACCATTGAATTATTCAAAGGGAGTTACAATCAACATCCTGTCTTTATCCATCTTTCAACTATTTCAATAGCAATTTGGGACCATATTGTTTTTGGTCTTCATGTGTGGACCATATCTTTTTTGGTCTTTATTTGTGGACCATGTTATAGTCAAAAAGGCTGGTGGAAATAATAGTATAAATCAATGTTTGTAGTAACTAAATGGATGTTTGTTAGATTCTTTGAATCATGTTCATATGAGATGAAGTAAAGAAAAAAGGGTTAAAGCCAACCACTGTCCCTCTACTTTTGATTTTTATTCATGTCCATCCCTCTACTAAGGATTTGTTCATTGTCATCCCTCTACTTCACCAAAAGCACCAAGTGTCGTCCCTGTACTCCAATTATTTTGTTCGTTGTCATCCTTTTTCTGACGGAGTTGCCTTGGTCGTCTATTTGAACCGTTTAATCCACAAACGGTCAATTGTTAAAGCATTTCTTTGATTTTTTTTTTTTTCCATATGTGCTGCCAACAAGGAAGAGAGAAGCACCCTTTTTGTCAATGTCCTGCTCCACTTCTTTTTTCAAATTCAATCATTTATGTTGTTGATTTCTAATCTTATCTCTTATATTTATTTGTTTTTACAGTAATTTGCATTTAGCCCAACTATTATGAACTAGTAATTTTTAGTTAGAGAGGTGAACTATATTTAATACTACTATATAATGTATTAGTAAGTATACATGTTGAGTTGATAAATTCTTATGCTTTAAATTTTATATTGATTAAAAATATAAATGTAAAGATTCATTATTACTGATAATTTAATGATAACTTAATGTTAAATTTTAGGTATTCGTAAAGTTAACTTAAGAAGTTGTTAAGATTATATTAATGAGTTTTTTTAATAGGTTATTAAGATATATGTTAAAGGTATATTTATTGTATTTTTTCACAATTTATATAAAAAATTATGAAAGTAAATTTTATTTTTAATATTAATCCCACATGAAATATTTTAATTAGATGGTTAATAAAATTATAGTCAATTTTTATTCTCTCATACAAATTAATGATGAAGAGATGCACATGTTAAAAGAGTTCTTTTTTAATAGAGGGCCTTTCTAATATGATCTATTAAATATATTTTTTTATTATAAATTTGTATTGAAAAAATAAAAATTAACTCATAATTTATCAATTATTCAATTAAATATATCCA